GGAAGGAAAGAAGGAGGGAAAGGAGGGAGGGAGGGAAGGAGGGAGGAAGGGAGGGAGGAAGGAAGAAAGAGGGGGGAGGGAGGGAAGGAGGGAGGAAGGAAGGGAGGGACAGAGAAGGTAAAAGTCAGCATTGTTCCAGGTGCCCTGTAGAATCAGAACCCTCCCATACGTTTAACTGAGCTTCTGGGGCACCCAGCCCTTACCAGACATTCAGAAGCCAGGACCACCCGCATCTAAGCAGCAATCTGGGCATCGTTTCAATCCAATGGGACCAATGCACTGGCCTATCTAGAGATCAAAGATGGCCACTGCTCAGAATCTTCTCTCTGTGCCCACCCACCAGGCTGGACACCCAAAGCCTAAGTTTGGGTCTAAATCTAGCTGTACAAGTGCTATAGTCTTTGGTCTAAAACAACCATAGCAGTAATTAATGGTCTATGCATGTGTCAAGCCACATTACCCATCTAAAACCATTTCATAACAAGCCCGGAGCTGGTGGCTCACACTCGGAATCCTAGCTACTCGGGAGGCTGAGATCTGAGGATTAAGGACCAAAGCCAGTCTGGCAGGAAAGTCCACAAGACTCTTACCTACAGTTAACTAGCAAAAAGCCAGAAATGGAGCTGTGGCTCAAGTGGTTGAGTGAAAAAAGCTAAAGAACAATGCCTAGGCCCTGAGTTCAAACCCCAATACCAGCACACACACACACACATACACACACATGTATGCACATACACACAATTCACCTTTACAACCATCATGTAAGGAAACAACTATTCGTCTACCCGTTCTACAGATAAGGAAATGACGGCACCAAGAATTCTCAAGCCTAAGAAAAAGCAGGGATTCAAACCGAGGAGCTGGGCTGCAGAGCCTTTGGGAACACAGCCTTCAGCAGAGAAGGAACACAGTCTTCCTCCTCCCCCTACCTAAGTATGCAGCAGGCACTGCCTGCCAAGACCCTCCTGGACCTTCCCCCAGGCCTCTGTCCATAGAAACATTGCAGAAAAATAACTAGAACTGCCCGGCACCCGTGGCTCACGCCTGTAATACTAGCTACTCAGAAGGCTGAGATCTGAGGATCGCGGTTCTAAGCCAGCCCAGGCAGGTACGTCCGTGAGACTCTGATCTCCAATAAACCACCAGAAAACCAAAAGTGGTGCTGTGGCTCAAGTGGTAGACCGCTAGCCTTGAGCTGAGGTGCTGAGGGACAGTGCCCAGGCCCAGAGTTCAAGCCCTACAACTGACAAAAAAAGAAAAAAGAAAGAAAGAAATGACTGCCAAAGTAAGGAATGAAGGTACTCCAACGGGTAACATTTTTACCTGTTTATAACTGGCATTTTCAAATTGTATAGCCCTGAAGTTACTAAGGACCTCTCTGTCTCTCTTCTCTCTCCTATCTGTCCTCCTGTTCTCTCCTTCTCTTTCTCCTTCTCTCTCTTTCTCTCTGTCTCTCTTTGTCTCTGTCTCTGTGTTTCTGTCTCTGTCTCTTTCTCCTCTTCCCTCTTTCCTCTCCTCCAATTCTGGGGCTTGAACTATCTATCGCTGGGCACTATCCCTGAGATGTTTTTGCTCAAGGCTAATGCTCTACTATTTGAACCACAGGTCTACTTCCAGGTTTTTGGTGGTTAACTGGAGATATGTGTTTCACAGACTTTCTTGCCCAGGTTGGCTTCTAATACCATCCTCAGATCTCAGCCTCCGCAGTATCTAGGATTAATCAATCCTAGGCATGAGCCACCAACACCTGGCTGGATTCCTCTGCACTTCCCTCATCTTGCATAAGTAAATGTATTGAAACAAACAAACGGTGAAAGACCATTCTCTAAGAATGTGCTCATCTCCTTTCCTCATCTAGTCTACAGTCCCAACTGGGCCCTGCATTTTCCACAGTAGTGCTCTGCTGCCCTCTGGTGGTAAGGCCTCGCTCTCCTGCCTTGTGTTGTTTTTAAGTATTGGTTTAACAATTGAGGAATGATGAATTTCCATATCACCACTCCTGGTATGTGAAAGCCTTTCATTCATTCATTCATCATTCACTTGTTCATGGATCTAAGGCTTCATCCAGAGAAAACATTGCTTACAAGTTCTTCTTCCCATCCTCAGCCTTTTCCTCCTAGGTGAGCTTAAATTTAACACCTCTCTTCTCACAGGTGATGAGCACCTCACGAACACCCTCCTCAGACTGCCTGTTTTGATTTTTTTAGGTTTTGAGGGATTTTTTTTGACCTGTATCTCTCTGATCACTTCGGTTTCTAAGGCTGGCTTTTTAAAGCATATTCTCAGATCATTGAGAAAAAAAATCCAGTTTGCCTTTCTAAATTCCCTGCTCTCAGCATCTGCTACATGTGGATCTGAAAGATTTTAAGAAAGAGAAGAATATATGAATGGAGCTGGGCACTATGGTTATTCAACAGGCTGAAAGAAAAGGACAATGTTGAAAGCCAACCCAGGCAGCAAAAAATGCAGAGACTTATCTCTAATTAACCAGCAAAAAGCCCAAAGTGAAGGTTTGGCTCAAGTGGCAGAGTGCCAGCCTTGAGTGAAGAGGCTTTAAGCAAGAGCAGAAAGTTCTTGAGTTCAAGCCTCAGTACTGTGCCCCCACATGTATGCTCTTTCTCTGTCCCTGTAGAGAGACAGAGAGAGAGACAGAGACAGAGAGAGAATTAACCTGAAAGGAAGAAGATACTTCCTTAATTTTGCCTGACACATACTTAAGAAAATGAGCCCCAAAGCTAAAGATTTAGGTGAGCCAAAATCTCAAAGTTTGCCTGTGTGGGGCAGACAAAGCGGTCCTAACAGTGACCCTGCCAGGCAAAATCTGACAGGAGGAGATGAGCAGGAAAAATGATGATCATTCTGCATCATAATAAAGCACATATCCCATGGGGCAAAGCTCTTTATGGGTAAGGTGCAGTTAAGAAAATAATTTATTCCCTCCTATGGATTTATTCTGTTTCTCTGAAAATTACTATCCAGGCTGGAGAGCTGCTTAGTCCAAAAGTTAGAAAATCAGAAAGAATGCTGATTCCACATTTTTGTCTTAGACTAAATGCAGAGGGTCTGAACCCACCCCATACAGCACCTACCCCGTGACTACCCACTCAGGAAAGGGACATAGTCCTCAGCCTCTGTCTCAGAGGTGAGGACTCACCTGGGGCCTGGCAAACACGGATGGGGAGGTCTGATTCCTTTAGTAGGCCTGAGATGCTGGGCCAGAGAGTCTCCATTTCAAGGAGTCTCAGGGCAAGACCCACACAGTGAGAACCATGGTATGAGACTGGGCAGCCTCAGCTTAAACCCAATTTAACATTATTTGATGACAAAAGAAATGAGCCTATGTCCCCCTCAAACTGAAGCATATGAAACAGTATGCTATACCTCTATTTGCCCAGAACATCAATTTCATGTAAAGATTTCCTTTTTTCTAAATTTTATTGTCAAGGTGATGTATAGAGAGGTTACAGTTACATTCATGAGGTAGTGAGTACATTTCTTGTCGAACTTGTGTACAGATTTCTAAAGGGTAAAAAGTTATATGTGTTCCAGAACAGTGTGATCACATTATATTATCATGCAAAATATACTTTTGAATTCACTGTATAACTTAGTAGAATTTTTAAGACAAAATAGGTGAGCCAGGCACTGGTGGCTCAGGCCTGTAATACTAGCTATGCAGGAGACTAAGGATCATGGTTGGAAACCAGCCTGGGCAGACAAGTCTCATAGATTCCATCTCCAATTAACAAAAAGCTGAGCTGAGTTGTACTTCAAGTGGTAGTGCACCAGCAATGAGCAAGACAACAGAGTGAGCACAAAGCCCTAGGTTCTAGCCTGGGTATTTTAACCAGCCAAAAAAAGTGATTTCTAAGAACCTTCCGTCTCAGGAGGAGTGTCTTTCATGTTGCTCCCAAAAGTGTGCAACGTTGCTGCTGATCCTGTGCTTTGAACTACACTTTCAGGCATGTGCATACAAGTATATATGATGTATGCATGCATGTGTGTGACCTACATATGTCTGCACGCATTCTCTACCCCACCAAAATGGTGTTTGTTTCCGTGATCAGGAATAGAAACGTTCCTTAGGATCCACTGAATGAGGCGTCCATTCTGACACCTGAGATACATTAACGTAAATGTGGCCCTAGAGACAGCAAGTTGAAGGGGGAGAGGGAAGAGGAGAGATGTCTAAGGAAGAGGGAACGTGTGCTGTGGAACGTGTGCAGCTTAGCCTGGCATCTGACAAGGATGCAGTCCAGGGACAGCAGGCAGGAGCCCGGGCGTCGGCAGTTCCCTGACCTAAAATGCACTCTCGCCTTTGAACTATGAACTATTGCCTTCATTTCCTCGGTTTTCTCACCTTGGTCACCTAAGCAATCTGCAGAGTACAGCAGGATATTTCATAAGAAAACACTCTGCTAGATAGTTTCATCTGAATCTCTTCCTACTTTTTTTTTGGTGGGGAGAGGGGCAGTCGGTCATGGAGCCTCAAGTCTGGGCCTGGGCGCTGTCCCTCAGCTCTTCAACTCAAGGCTAGAGCTCTACCACTTAAGCCACAGCACCACTTCCAGCTTTTTCTGCTTATGTGGTGCTGAGGACTCGAACCCAGGGCCTCATGCATGCAAGGCAAGCACTCTACCACTGAGCCACCTTCCCAGCCCCTCTCTTCCTACTTTTGTAAATGACACTATCATAATTGAACTTCCTCTTTCTCTGGAACACTACTGCCATGGACATCAACTCTTGAGTCCTCGCTGTACCCAGTTAGGAACCCCGGTGGCCACAGAGTACCAAGAATCAGGGTGGGCCCTCTCCAGCTGACAGAGAGACAGCTTGACCTTGACTATGATGGCTTGCTCCTCTGGTGTGTTTCCCTTATCATGAAAGCTCAAGACCATTCATGGCTGTGTCTTCCATTTGTGGCACACCTGAGTGGACTCTGGTCACATGGATATTCACAGCCAACAGCCAACTCCAACCCAGTCCCCAGCAGGTACTACCTGTTTGATGAACTCAGAGTAGTTGAGGATGGGCCCATTGTGGAAGACGGGATAATAGAAGATGTAGGCCAACATCCAGGGAAAGGAGTAGGAGGGGCCAGTCGCGGGCAGCTGTTGCCAGCAGAGCTCCAGGCTGAAGCTGGTGTAGAAGAGGCAGCGAACCGTCAGCGTGAACTGCAGCAAGTAGTACTCGTTTTCTGTCGTGTACCACCTCCTCTGCAAAAGCAAAGGGACGGGACAACCTGTGAATGGCAAGGAATGTTCAATCGCCATGAACATCAAAGACATCCCAAGGGTAAACAAAGCAAGCACTTCGGGCTGGGGGCATGGTTCGGTGGTAGAGGATATGCTCAGATAACATACCTGAGGCCCAGAGTTCAATCCCCAAAGCATGGCACAAAACACAAAGTAAACAGTTCATGAGTATCAGGGGAGAGAACATCTCTAATATCAACTTCCCGTTAGGTCTGACTCACACAATGAAAGTTTCCTGGTCATGCCTTTATATGATACATCCAGTGGCTAACATCTCTATGTATCTCTATGGCTATATCCAATAATACTCCAACATCTCTTTCAACCATTCTGATGCCTTAAGATGGCTTGCAAATGTCACGTGCAATTTCTCTCTTCAACATAATTTTCTTGTTGCTCTTCTGTTATTAATTCAGCTCTGCTTTAGTTGAATGCATGCTTACTCAAACTGTGGAGACTCAGAGATCTCTGCAACAAAGGCCTTATTGATCTGCTACCGATGCTAGCCAGAAGTCAAAAGCCCAGTCCTGGGACAAGTTCTTTAAGACCTGACAGCACTGGACAATTGCTAAGACATCCTTAGGTCCTGGAGCTTTACCACACCTAAGGAGCCAGCATGCATTCGAATGGAAATTTAGAAGGAAACCTAAGTCATTTACATTCAGTCTACATTGACTACAGATGAGAGAAGCAGAACAGGGCATGCTAAGTCCTGAGAGAGGAGGTGAGCTCACAAAAAAGAAGCTTTTACAGCTTCTTCATGTATGTACACCACTGAGGTTCTAACCCTGCACTGACTGGAGAGAGACTATCAAAACTAAATTGTTCAGGTCAAGGAATGTTAATAGAGTGATGTTATAAAAGGGAGACAGTCAGACAAACAGACACAGAACAACGGACTGGTCACTGTCATAAACTGTTCAGAAAATGGTTGCTCCTGACAAACAACACAGAAGCAGCAGCTCTTAAGTGACCAGCACCCCAAGGAGATTTGTAGGACACTGCTCCTACCTGCTAAATAAATCTTTAGACCAATTAATTTTATTAGAGTTTATCTGAGAAAAAAAAGAACAAACAACGCAATTCACAAATTGGGAACCTTCAGAACCAGAGCAGGTCTTGAGAACTCCAGCCAACCATAAAGTGGGCAGACGGGAAAACAAGTTAATTGACTACATCCTAATCAAGCGGCCAATTGGTTACAGCTTAAGTAATTAACTGTGTACAGCTTAATTAGTTAATTGGCTGCAGGGCCTTCTATGGTCAAACAAAGCTCAGTTATTGTGATTAAACTTTTGCGTTGGTTGGATCTGCTGGGCCCAGTGCTAGCCTCCCCCACCCCCATTCAAACCCACACCCTCCCACAAAGCTTAATTAAGACACCTATCCCTTCCTTTAACCCCATATCATCTCTACATATAAACTCTGAAAGAGTTTAGATTCCAGGTCAACAGCTGAGATGCACGGATCATACTAAGTGTTAAATCCTGTAAAGTGAGCATGAGGGGTCCGCAGGTGGCATACAGTCTAGCACTGTCCCTCTGAGATGCACAGAAAGGACCAACAAGCCAAAAGGAGCTAGAAAGGGTGATTCTAGAGAGACAGGAATAGCTGGAAGAGACATGATGGTACACATCTATAATTCCAGCACACAGGAGGCTGAGTTAGGAGAACCAGAAAGTTCCAAGCCAGCCTGGGCTACACAGTGAGATCTTGTCTTTTAAAAAAAGTCACAAATTAAATTAAATAAAGAAGCTGTACTTTGAAGAGGACAGGAGGATGGAGTGGATGGGGCGCCATGGGATAAACGCAGGAATGGGGAGGGAAGCAGAGCTGACTGACTCTCCCAGGGCCTACAATCTCGCTCAGGCAGTGGCTTGAATGCCAGTCTCCCGCAGGACGGAGATGAGAATGCCAGAGGCCTATCCTGGGCACACGGCTCCAGATGTTGGCAGAGTTGGAACTCTTGGGCTGCCTCTTGCCAAGCTGACTGAGACTGAAGCTGAAGGGCTCTACTGCCCTGCATCCTGAGCCACACAGAGCAGAGCTGAGTTCCTGAACTTCCCTTTCTGCTATGAGCCTCTCCCTGAAGGAGAGTTTCTGTAGATGGCTGATGGCTCCACACAGATGAATGCTCCTCTTCCCTGCAGCCACAGAACGAAAGGCTTCCCCAGCAGCAACCCTGCATGGCAAGCATGACTCTCTGCCTTGCAAATCAACAAATAGATGACACTGGGAAGCAACACAGACCACCGCAGGAGTCCTGCTCGGGCCTTAATGTGTGCTTTCAGTGCTAAGTCATCCAAGCTACCAGAGCCAGATCAGACAGTCCACAGCCATCCAGAGGACTCTGCCTAATGCCAGAAGGGATCTGAAAACCATCTACAGGAGCCAGAGAGCTCATTGCAGGAAGAGTCATATTGATGGTGGCCATCAACTCAGCCATACCTGCTGCTGAACATCAGCCTTGAGATGCTATTCTCTGTCAGCCAGCACCCCGCAGGCCAGATCTGGTGTGTATCCACTCACAGAATAAAATGCATTGCCCTATGACTAAGAAAATAAAGGTAAGAAGCAAGGGTCTGGAGGTTCATGCCTATCATCTAAGCTACTCTGGAGGCTGAGGTCTAAAAGACTAATTTAAAGCCAGCCTGGACAAAAAAAAAAGTCTATGAGACTCTTCAATTAGCCAGCAAAAAAAACTGTGCTAGGGGCATGGCTCAAATTGTAGAACACCAGACAAGCAAACAGAGTGGAACATAAGGCCCTGGGCTCAAGCCCCAGAACCAGGAAGAGGAAAGAGGGAGGGATGAAGGAAGGAAGGAAGGAAGGAAGGGAGGGAGGGAGGAAGGGAAGGGAGAGAGGGAGGGAGGGAAGGGAGAGAGGGAGGAAGGGAAAGGAAAGGAAAGAAAGGAAAGGAAAGGAAAGGAAGGAGGAAGGGAGAGAAAGAGAAAGAGGGAGAGGGAAAGGGAGAGGAAGAAGGAGGGAAGGAAGGAGGAAGGGAAAAAAATCAAAGAAGGTAAATTTCTTTTTTATTATCTTTTAGTAGTTGTATAACAGAGTTGCCATTCAACAATGCAGTACATGAATATAAAGCATCTTGATCAAGATGCATTATCAGAGCTGGGAAGGTGGCTCAGTGGTAGAGTGCTTGCCTTGCATGCATGGGTTTGATTCCTCAGCATCACATAAACAGAAAAGACCAGAAGTGGCACTGTGGCTCAAGTGGTAGAGCACTAGCCTTGAGCTGAAGAGCTGAGGGACAGCGCCCAGGCCCAGAGTTCAAGCTCATGACCAACAACAACAACAACAAAAATGCACTATCATTCTTTCATCATTATTCCCCATACCAACCCAACCCTACCCTTTCCCTCAGTTTTCTTAATTTTGTAGGATATACATTGAATTTTATGACTTGATTCTCCCCACTTCCTCTCTTCATTCATCTACTCCCCCCCATGCCCCTCTCCCTCTTTCAAGTGCTCATTTCCTGGTGTTTATTTTGCTGTACTGTGACTTAGCCTTTCTAAGCAATTTCACCATTTGAATTCTCTGATGAATCTGCCATACTTTAGTTAATACAAGAAGGTAAACTTCAGCAAAAGGAAAGCTTTACTAATGTAACCACAACCATATTGAAGTGTGGTTTGGCCTAATGTCTTCTTCCCTTAGCACAAACAATTGGTAAATATTTGAGTCTGTCAAGATGCTGTCGTTTCAAAAGAAAAACAAAAGAAACAAAAAGCCAGAAGCTTGGATTGGGCCCTGTGGACCAAAGCACATTATTTCCACTTTCTAAATATGAGGAGCTCCTATGACCACCTGTATCAGTAGATAATGAACAAATCTTTACATCAAGTAAGAAGGATAAAAATCACTTGCCTCACCTGTCTTGGAATCGCTGCGGGCAATAGATGACGTGAGATTATGTCCCGAGACCACCCCTTAAAACTTGTAGAATGCTTGTAGATGTGTTTGGGTTTTAATGAAATACAGAACTGTTCATCTCTTTAACCCTCATTCCTCACCCTCCACTCATGACACCTGACACTCTCATGCCTACACAAGCTGGAAGCAAAAGTTCAGCCGACCCTAGACAACCTCACAGAGATCAGACAAGATTACAGGACACAGCAGGACCTTTTTATTTTTTTTTTCAATTCACCCTCTACGGCCTCTACCTGGAGCCCCATCGAGTATCTTGGATTGCTTCCTGTCTGAAAATAAAGACATCTACTGGCATCCAAGAGAAACTAAGTGTAAGAGGAGGACACTTACCTTCACTTCCTCCACACCTTGCAGCCTCAGGGTGGAGAGCAGGAGGAGAGAACAGAGCCAGGACAGGAGCAGTGACCGGAACTGGGCCACGCAGAAGGAGATGACGGTGTGGAGAAAAACCATGGCCACGCCTGGCGCCCCCAGCACGTGCCAGCAGGCCCACATTCCATAGACCGTGAGGATCCAGGGTCTGTGCTGTGGACAAAGCGGGGCAGGAGACAGAGAAAGAGGTGAATCCATGGGCATTGTTATGAAAGAGCCTATAGGGAAGAAGAGGATCTCTACTAATCCAATAACCAGGGAGGTCAGCACTCTGCACCTTCACTCCCAGAATCCTCCAGAATCCCCAGAACCACCCAGAAGCAAGTCCTGCCTGCAGCCAGAGCCACTCAAACCACTGAGCCTCACAACAATGGGATGCCAGGCTGCATTCTCAACAGCTATTACAGACCTCACAGACTGGAGAAACACCCCCAATCTGGACAGTCATACCCCACGGGCACCATCCTTCAGAGATGAAGGCAAGGGGAAGGCACCGTGCACGCGGCTGGGGAGCCTCCATGAGAACAACGGGCCACCCACACTTAAGAGGCGCTTAAAAGCCACTTTGGCAAGAAGCACCGGTGCCATACTTAGGCCCACAGATGAATTAAAAGCAGGATAAAGGCTAGACACCGTGACATCACTTTGCGTCAGCGTCCCCTGACCAGAGCCATTCTCACCTACATTCACTTGGCAAATGACCTTGAGCTCCAGGAAAAACAGGCTTTGCCAAGAATCTTGTAACAGAAGGCCGGAGGGGATAAACACCCTTCAGACAGGCAATGCCTGCTTATCATCTTGTCGAAAAGGAAGAGAAGAGCCAACCTCTCAGATCAGACTGTCTACCAGGCCACCGTGTCAGGCCAGACAACAGTGACTTGTGCCTGCTCCCCTCAAGCCACAAAGCAAGAACAACTTCTCCAGGCCCTTCCAGAGACAAGGGCTAAGATAATGGTCAGCCAAGCCCAACCTGTGACTGGAAGTGTTTTAACTACACATACCTTTTGCCCCTGGATCCCAGTTCCCTGCCTACTTTAAGCTAAAGCTTTCATCTGTATGCAAAGATGGCTGAAGGGGTACTGAAGTGCTGCTGTATTCCCATAGCTGGTATGTAATAAATCCCCTTCCTCTTCCCTTCACCGTGTTTTTTTTTGGCATTGGCAGTGAGTTGCCAGAACTGGCATGGAGAACTCCTGGAGTTTGGACCTGGAATCTAAAATTCCAAATATAATACCCCAAAGGGCTCTCCAAAGTCTGGACCACAGATTCAAAGTTAAATATCTAGTGACAGTCTTTTTAGTTTCTCTGGGTATTTGGGGGGCGGGAAGAGGTCAGGTACTGGCTGTATAGCCTAAGGCAAGTTAGTGGATCTCCCAGTGTTTCCAATTCTTTATATATAAAATTGGAGTAAGAATTTTATATGTAGTATATCTACTTCATGAGGTTATGAAGATAAAATACACCACACCTATGGAATACTTAGAACAGGATAAACACACATAAGGGGCTCCTCAACACATTGGTAGTTATCCTTAAGTAAACACAACATCTCACAGACATGCATTTTACAATGTGTTTTGCAGAAATATATACAGAGTTGAGGAGTAGGGACTTCATGAATTTAGGTCCTCCTATAAAAACAAGATGTCTTGAGCCAGATGCTGGCAACTCACGCCTGTTATCCTAACAAATCAAGAGGCTGAGATCTGAGGATCCTGGAACAAAGGATTCCCTAGCCTAGGCAGATAAATCTGAACATTGCTCATCTCCAATTAACAACAACAACAACAAAAGCCAAATGTGGAGATGTGGCTCAAGTGGTAGAGTGAAAAGCCTTGAATGAAAAAATCAAGTGAGAGAGTGAGGCACTGAGTACACACCCCACTACTGGTACAAAAATAAATAAAAATAAAAATAAAGTCAAGCAAGGGAAAATAGCAGTGGAGTGGAAATTGTAAATCTCATCCTTAGAAGTTAACTCTCCCAAAATGTTGCTTCGGAACTGATTGTCCCCACATCTGCACTCCAGCCCAAAGAGAACTTGTTAAATTCGAGACTAGGTCAGCCACTTTTAAGTTCCAAGAAAACCAGAGAAATGTGACGTTCATCTTTTTACCATGTTTCCATCCTACTACCCACAGAAAACAACCACATAAATTTGCTTCACATTTTCCTCCACTGGCTCACCTCTGGGCAGAGGCCAATTTTCAGGAACAAGTTTGCCAAAGACTATTTTAGGACATCACTTTAACAAATGAAAAAGAAAGAAGGTTCTTTTTACTATGACCTACAGCATTGACTGCTGGAATTCTTTTCCATGCTTGCATGGTTACATGCATATGCGAAGATGCAGTTACACTTTGACTAAGTGCTATTTGATCCATTTGGAAAAAGCCTGTTCACTGGGATCCATTTGGAGTTTAACCACAGACGGAAGTTACCTCGACTTGGAAAACAGCTGGAAGAACCTTTAAGGAAATACTTCATAATGTTCCGTATAAGCCCCATTGGCATGAGAGATTCTGCGATGACTTTAATAATGGTTTCAAAAGCTACTCAGAAGACAAATGTGCTCCATATTCTCATTCCCTGCTGATTTCCTCCTGCCAAACAGAACAGGAAGACGGTCCTGGAGGAAGTTCTAAGACATGATAGAAATATTCTCACATTAGCCCCATGCTCTCCACTAACCTTCATACCAGTCGCTCATCTCCAGACTTGCAATGGGGAACTATACATCTCATGGTGGACAGGAAATGAAAAGATTTGAAGAACACAAAAAGAATCCCCTATGCAGAACTGTTGTGTGAATTACAATCCCCCAAAATCCTTTATGTGTCCACAAAGATACTATTAGAATCCAATCCCCAAAATGTCATTAAAATTCTGACATAGAAGGATCCATGACCTTGTCCTCAACTAGTATGACAGAAATGTGGTCCCCACCATGAGGAAGCATATTTGTCTCTTTAGTATTCAATCGATACTCTTATACATGGTATAGCTTAGAACATACTACACTATCAATTGTAGCTGCTATTGAAATATATATATACATATATATATATATGCAGTTGATAGATGTGTGTGTGTATATATATATATATATATGTATGTGTGTAATGTGTTTTCCCCAAGAAAACTGGGGAGAAACACCCACTCTCTCCTAGAGTCCAAAAAACTGCATTCTAGACAGCTATTCCGGAGCACAAAGAAAAAACAAAAGGATATCATCTATCAAGGGATTTTTTGTCTGCTTAGCCAGATACAATGGAGAGAAAAGTCAGATTCTGGGAGAACCATCAGTGCAAGAGATCATATTAGCTGCATAGATATGACACTGCTAGAAGAGAGTGCTGTTCACCATGGCCTCACAGGGGACCAAGCTTCTCAGTCCTCTGTATACCGTGCCAAGGGGAGCTGAGCATGCGGCAGGTGCTAATGCTGCAGCTTCTACAGCCAGGGATCCAGTGAAAACCACTCTGTAGTCAACAGAGTCCCACCCTCCACCCCCACACCAGGCTAGCCTTCTCAAAAGTTCACACAGGGGTATTTTTAGTTCTTAGTGCACAGAACAGTGCGTCTCAGGTGGTGGCAAGGCCACAGAAGTGTCCGAGAAAGGAGACAACCCAACCACACACAGCCCGATCATAACAAACCCACAGCCTCCTCTCTCAGAGCCCTGGTTCTTCATTGAGTCCCCCCCACCCAAAGCCCAGAGCATGAGTCCTGTCTGGAGGAAAGGCATTTAACCTCAATCAGTGAGCTCAGTGGAAAGTTTTACTACTTATCAGGACCAAAAGGAAAAATGATAGAAGAAACCATATGCTTTTGAAAGTAGCCTGCCTCTCAGTGCGAGCGAAGGGAGGTAGTGTGAGTGAATGGAGACCTGAGCTTAGATTGTAGATGCAGAGTGGTAGCATCTTTCAGGGATTCTGGTTATGCCAGCAAGAACCATTAAAGCCTGTCCCTCCCCAGCACTGGTCATGGCTTATGATGCCTCAGAGAACAGGGAAATAAAAGACAACTGTGACCCAAATCTTCCACCCTGAATAAGGACCAAAAACAACTCTCCAAATGAAGGCACCTGGAACACCCAGGTGCCGAAAGGCCACAGCTAATGGGGCCAAAGCTGTGGTTTCTTCTTACAAGAAGGCCAAGAAGAGGTAGACAAAGAAAGCCCTGTGCCCCAGCCACAAGCAGATGTCACACCAATGAAGCCTATGGTCACACAGGAGATGAGACACACACCGAGGGAGAGGACTCAGAGCTCACTCTGCCTCATTCTGAGCAAAATGCAAAGAACCCATCCTGCAGACATTGGATAAGTCATGCTCTGCAGAGAAAGACAAGGCCTCCTATCCGCCCATACCTGATATCAAAACACAGGAAGCCAAATATGTAAACTGAATATCCTTCCAACCATAGCTCCAAAGCTTCCTTTGTAGGTGCCTGTCCTGACACCAGCATGGCCAATGTTGCATGCTCGTTGGTCCCAAGCATCCATTGCAGCCAGCCCAGCCCCAACACCATCTCAGGCATAGCTGAATGACTGGTGTCTGACTTCCCCTCTAACTTCTCACTGAACTGTGTGAGTCCCTATAAAGGAAGGGGTGCTATATCCTAATCCTTTCCACCAGAACCAGCTTGAAATAGTTTCAAAAGAAGACATTTGCTGGATGACCAGACGTGGCCTCTGACCTTGAGAAGTGTGGAATTTGAAGACAATCACCTCCTTCCTTGAACACTCTGGAGGCCCCTCCTCCAGCAGACAACACCAACAGCCACCAAGCACTGGGCTCTCATCACATGAAAGCATAATCTTGAATGACTCTGCTTATCACACATCCTCCACGATGCCAACAAGCCAGAGCACCATCCCCATTGCCCAACCAAGAGCCAGGCTCAAAGACATGAAGTCCCTGGCGTGAGTGTATAGATCTTTAGAGTAGCAAAACTATAATTCACCCAAGGGCTCTTAAATACTTCAAATACAGTCAGCCCTCCATATTTTGAAGGCTCCTTATCCATGGATATATATCCAAACATAAAAGAACTGCACCTATACTAAACATGCACAGACATTTTTTTTCCTTATCATCATTCCCTGAACAGTACAATTATTTATTTAGCATCTGCATTGTATTAAGTCTTATAAGACCTTTATAGAATAGTTAAATTATATGAGAAGATCTATGTAGGTTGTAGATATCTCCAATGCCATTTTATGTAATAGGCAGATTTTGGAATTCTCGAGCAAGTCCCAAAACCAGTCCTCTTAAAGATCTTTAGTGCTACCTCCTCAGACAGAAGAAGGCTGAGTGAGCTCGAAGCAATAAGCAAACTAAATGGTGAGACATGGCCATACTGGGGAGCAACCATCCAACTGCTTGGGGGCCACACATAAGCCATATCTAAGCCCCATTTAACACCGGACTTTGCACGTGTGAATGTACCATTTAGTCTGCACATTCCTGAGCTTTCTATACATGGAATCCCATCTGATTTCTTGTATTTGCACATGGTTATGACTCAGACATTCATCCATGCTGATCATTATTGGCTGGAAATCATTCTACTTCATGAAATAAATACTCTATAATTCATCCATTTTCATGTAATAGACATTTGAGTTGCTACTGAATCTTTCTATGATGAACACCACTGCAGTGAACATGCTAGTTCATATCCCCTGAAGAGTCTCCAAGGAGTAGGTCAGGATTAGCACTGGTAGCTATGGGTGGTCACCTCTGATTTTACTAGGTAATACATTCCAGGGGAAAGGAAGCCAATTGATACTCCCTTGCTCTGGGTAAGATAGCAATATTTGGTATCTTTAGGGTATTTTGGTTTGGTTTTGCAAAACTAGAAAAGTATCAATGATCGATTATGGTAGTTCTAGGATGTATTTGTTGATTATTAATGAATTTGAACATTTTTCCCCTAAACTTAGGGGTGTTAAATCATTTGCCTGCCGGGTGCTGGTGACTCATGCCTGTAATCCTAGCCTGTAATCTCAGGAGGCTGAGATCAGAGTCCATGAGACTCTGATCTTCAATAAACCACCAGAAAACTGGAAGTGGTGCTGTGGCTCAAGCGGTAGAGCGCTCGCCTTAAGCTGAAGAGCTGAGGCCTAGAGTTCAAGCTCCACGACCGACAAAAAAAAAAAAATCATTTGCCTATGGGCAGAAGAGCTTTATGTTGGAAGAAAAATGCTAAATTTCTAGAAAATCAGAAACTTTGAAAAGAAAATTAAGCAGAAATGTGTGGAAGGAAATAAACATTAAAATGATAGTTGAGGTAAATATACCCGTTTCCAGTTTTGAAATAATTTTTAAATGTATTATTATTAGGTCTGCTCAGAAAAGTTACATTAAATTTTTTAAATATATTCATATCTGATAGCATCTAATATTTTATTAAGCTGCCACTTTAGAAAACAAGATCCAGCACTTGGATATAAAAAGGCAATCAATAGTTTATTTAAAGAAAGGTAGCACAATAGAAAGACTTCCTTCTTCCAGGATGAAAAGTAAGCTCAGAAATTAACAACCCTCAGAAGAGAGCTGAAAAATAAATGGCCCAAGTTACGTGCACCTCTCCAGTGACATCTCGTTCCTTAGTCTTACTTCCTGCTCTCTTGCCCCAGGGGCTTCTGGTTTCTCCATTTCCATAAGCCTCTGGAAAGAACCAACATGTTTCTTGTGTTGACTTCCAAGTAAGTTCAGTTGCATTTTGTTTTCACTTGGTACATTTCAGGCACAGACTTACTTTTTCACATTAGGAATTAACAGAAGCAAGAAGAAACTATCAGAGGATCCTGGACAAAAGCTAGCTCCTAGATACACAGCCATCTTCCTGGCAAGTTCTCAGGCCCCGTGGGAGCTAATTCTGAGAAGAGGTCACAATTCAACCTTCTGTGAAATCACTTTGCAAATATCCACTTTTTTACACATGTATATATTTATCTTTATATTTATTCATATGTATATTTATACAAAAATACCAATAGTAGCAGCATGTTATATATCAATAGCAGAAACTACTTTTCCAGGTTGTGCAGTCATCTGAACAAAATTAGAGACATCTGGCATACTCCATTGATAAAAAGAAAAAAAGATTTAAGAAGAAAAAAAACCAAAACCCTAGAAAAATTCAAGATTCTGTTACTGTGGTGGTACTTGGTATCATTTCTTTTATTAGCTCCTCAATCATCATCTAAAAGGAAAATATTCTTGAGTAACACCATTAAAAACAGCTCGGATAAGCACAGTCACCACTACGTCGCAGAGGTATGATACAGTACTATCCTATAACACTAAAGGACACAATTAAAAGGCATTACTGAGATTTGATTCTACTTTTCCAGCAGAGAACCCAAAGAATGGTATGACACAGCTCTGGAAAGAGATGCACTTTCGGGGCTGGGAAGGTGGCTCAGTGGTAGAGTGCTTGCCTTGCATGCATGAGGCCCTGGGTTCGATTCCTCAGCACCACATAAGCAAAAAAAAAAAAAAAAAAAGGCCAGAAGTGGCAGTGTGGGTTAAGTGGTAGAGCACTAGCCTTAAGCTGAAGAGCTGAGGGACAGCACCCAGGCCCAGAGTTCAAGCACCACAACAGACCAAAAAAAAAAAAAAATGCACTTTCTTAGACAGGATTTCCCATCAGCAACATATTCTGAGTATTTACTCTCTTCATGAACATCAGCTTCATTGAAAAGAAGGGACGGGGAGCAGGAAGAAAAAAGCAAATTTCTACTTCAATGAATCCATTACTGTCTTGCCCAGGCTGAGGTAAGAGAATAAAAAACACTACGGGAATTCGGCCCTCAAACAGCCACAGTAGCCTACATGATTAAAATTATCCCTAAATCCAAACAAAACTATTCCTGTTCTTCTAAACTTGTGAACAAAAAAAACCCACATAATTTCTCTCTACCAGATTGTTTGACCAGGGATGACCTTAGAGTAAACCTTTAGAAGTTACTGTCACGCTAAAATTGTCATATTTTTCAATGGCTTAAACAAGAACCTGAATAAAGGATGAACATGTAAGACACCTCCATCTTAAATTCCTGTCGACCACTGCCAACTTTTGTCAGGTTCCCAAGGCTAATAGTTATGCTAAGAACTCTCTTTTCTTAAAGGGAAATGCCACATGGACTCATACCTTCCTTACGAGCAGCATGGCCAACTGAGACACTGTCATATGCCCAAGGAAAAGCCACAGCAGCCTCTGCTTTCCCCATTCCATCCAGAAGCTCCATTCAAAATCAGTCGGGTCCTAAAAAAGATCAAAACAAGAACTGATATTATCAGAGGGATTTGAGTATTTGTCTGAGATGGAACACAAGCCCCACTAAATAGCACAGCTAGAAATGAGGCAGATGTGACGCTAACTTCTGTAAAAATAGCATATAACCATTTCTAGTCTTTCCTCCCAACATACCCAGAACTCCTCCCTCCAGCTGGTCTGGTCTCCCTGCCATTTCCCAAGCCCACTCTGTACTTTCTGTGTAGCTGTGTCTTCCCTAAAGTGGATTTCTCCAGGGTCCTACATGGGATAGAAAATATCCTTATTCCATTTTGTAAAAGATGGAACAAGGCTGAAAGGCATCAACTGATTTCCCCAAGGTAACGGATGGTACGAGCACTGAACTGGAGATATCTGTTAGATACCAAAACCTGTTCTTTTCACTTCAATAAGAAGAGAAATGCAAGTTGGATATTAATGATATCACTTAAAGGTAAATCCTGTTCATTACTTTTAAGTAAGCAACAGGATAATTATATGGATTGAGAAATTAACAAATTTGCATATAGATTTATGGTGAAAGAATGACAGGTGCACCTCCTGTCCCCTGGGTGAAGCCCTGTATCCATGGAGTGTTTTTTGCCTATATTGGTACCAGACGCCATGGCTGTGTGAGGCTCTGGCTGGGGAAGGCAGGAGTGGACATCACGGCACCCGGAGACCCTCACCTCACAGCCCTGGTTTCTCAGAAGTGCCAGAAATGGTCAGGGCAGCCAAGTTGAGCACAGAGAGCAGAAACACAGACAGGAGCTACCCTTAAGTGGGTAATGCGAGCTTAGCCAATTGAACAGTTTGGTACCGCCATGACTAAATCAGAATTTTCCACCAGAATTGTGTGGGAGAGGAAGGCATCTTCCAATGACAACTGACAGGGAACATCTTACCAATCTCTGCAAATGCAACTTGTAGCCACTTAAATGGATTTAGAGGGAGGGAAAAAATGCTTTCTGATTCTGAGAATGAAGGGACAATTTCATACTAGCTACAAATGTTTGTTTTCCGGAGAATATACGTGTGTGTATGTGTGTGCCCAATGTTGATTCATACCAGACTATAAGAATAGAGGAAGTAAGCCAAACAGCCAAATCTTAGAGATTTAGCATGGATTTACATACACACATACACACACACACACACACACACACACACACACACACACACACACACCACCACCACCACCACCACCACCACCAATCTATCTACATCCTAGCCATCATTACCTTGAACATGATGCATAACCTTCAGCCCCAGAACCATCATCATCTTCGTCACTACTGAATGTTCTGAGTACCTACACATAAGAATTTACTGGACTGGATAAGTTAACAAAGATGGTTGTTACTTCTGAGCCATGTGATCAGCAACCAGGCAACACTGAGAAGTCTGAGGTCTGGGGAATTCAGATTTTCTGGGCCTGGTGTTTTTCAACTGCCTCTCTCCCTACACAGAGCAGTGTTTTATTCCAGACGATGTGGGAACCCATAAAAGAATTCTTCATCCTTAAGGAACTAGAAGTCTACAAGACCCACAGTCCCCACTCCACCTCATCCACAATTAAGATGATCTGAAAACCATGAACAAGGGAGGGAGGGAGCAGCAAGGCAATCTCTCTACAGAGAGAGACCAGTCTTTCCTTATCCTACTCTCACTGACCAAAGCCACAACCTCAGAACAATCCTGAACATGGTGGGGGTTTTTGTTTAGTTCATGGGTTTGATCATCTAGAGCCATTTTGGGTTCACAGAAGAACTGAGCACACAGTACTGAGTTCCCATACACCTCTCCTTTCACATGCACCCTCCTCCACTGGCATCATCCCCTACCATCCCCTACTAGTACCATTGTTCTAATTAGGATCAAACATCGTCACCCAGCATCCAAAGTTTACAGTGGGGCTCATAATTGGTCAGGACACTCATGAATTTAGATAAATATAAATATATGTGTGTATGTATATATACATATATATATCACAGTATCATACGGGTGGTTTTACTAATCTAAAAATCTTTCTTTGGCTCCACCTGCTCATGTCTCTCTCCCTACCAGCTACTGCCTCAATAATTTTGCCTCTTCCAGAATGTTCCATAGTTGGAATAAAACAGTTTTGTTTTTGAACTTCACGTTACAAAAGAGTTAACTGGGAGACTGGGAAAGCAAAGCATTTGTCCATAGTGAACCAAGGGCATAGCTGGGCATCAAAGAGGAAAGAGTTCCCTGAGATGTTTCTAAATGCACCAGCCCTTTTCCTTGGGGCCTCTGCCCCACACCACCACCTTCTAACTAAACTATCTCCAACCAAGAGGGTGTGTTACCAAGGCCTCTTAACCACGAAACCAGCCCAACCGCATGCACAAAGTAAGTGTTCAATGGACAGTACAATTTGAATGTCCAGTCGGGTGTGGACCCTTCTCGACCACACTGTAAGCCACTCTCTTCAATATTAGGACTTTTATTATAGTTAATTCACATGCCTATACTTTCTCTCTAGGAGAAAAAAATGGTTCCCTAAGAGCAAGACCCTCCACTGAAATCTGTACTACAGAAACCATCTATTCAGAGAGCCTTTACAACTGGTGGGCAGGAGAGCAAAGGAGTAAAAAAAAAAAATAGCAAACAACTTAAGTTCTCTCCATATTTTTACTTCTGGTTTAAACTTGGAAAAGTCACTTAACTATCTGACTCTGAGACTCCTTGTTTGTAAAGTCAAGAGCCAAAGTAGCATGATGTCTAATATCCCTCCCAGTGAGTGCAAATAAGAGTGTCCAGCTAAAGGAAAGAAATACTAAGAGAGTACTGTGCTCATCCACTCTTGGATTGAGTCCTGGCTAAGAGAAAGGTGATGACTGCCCTAAAAGTTAAAAGAAAAAAAATTCCTGGCAAATGAAGATTTAGGCTGCCAACTCACTGCTGAGTAAACATTTCCTCCTTCTAGCCCTGAATTCTCATCAGCCTTAAGCCTGTCCAGATCCACGCTCTTACTCACAACCCCTTGCCTGGGTACCTCTCATGACAGGCAGACAGACCTGATTCTGGGTTTTCTCTTGTATTCCCTCCAGACAACTCTAAAGAAGCCACAGGCTTGAAGCCTATTTTCCAGCTGAAAACAATAAACCTGTGGCTAAAAAGCTGAGGTCAACTAAATTAAAATAGTGTACAAGTGCCAATGTCAGGCAAAATCCCAAAGCACCCATTAAAATGCCCCAAGTAGAGAAACTCACCCTGACCCACAACAGTTACGCCAAGGACATTACTCAACTGGATTCCCCACAATGCACCATGTCCTTTCTAGTGAGCTCAGGTCAGAGTATGGCGCTACTCTAGGTAGAGGTGGCACTATAGATCGTTCCTATTGGCTAGAAACCTCGACAATTACAGATTCTAGGAAAAGTCATAGAAGAGTCTCACCCACAGCACACCAACGAATCATTAACCAAAAATACCCTGGAGTCTCTACAAGTCTTGTTTCTAGCCATACTCTAGGCGCTAGACCCAATCTGAGGAACATTTTCTACCTAGTGAAACATTCCTTCCACTCTGTCCCTCTTCACACCACCAAAGTAATCATTTTTTTTCGTTGGTTGTGGGGCCTGAACTCTGGGCCTGGGCGCTGTCCCTCAGCTCTTCAGCTCAAGGCTAGTGCTCTACCACTTGAGCCACATTTCTGATTTTCTGGTGGTTTACTGGCAAGGAGTTTCACGGCTTTTCCTGCCTGGGCTGGCTTTGAACCGTGATCCTCAGATCTCAGCCCCCTGAGTAGCTAGGATTACAGGCGTGAGCCACTAGCACCCAGCCAGATCATGCCACTCAAGCCATCTGTCCACAGTGTGGATTCGTGCTCCTTGCCTATGCTTCCACATTATGCCGCAGCTACCTTCAGGCTGGCCACTTCCCACATTGTACTTTGGTACAGGTAACTGAGCTATGGATTCCTTCCTATTTGGTCTACACATATGTTTAGCATTGTGCCCGGCAATAATTCAGCATATAGTAGTCAACAAACCCTGTGTGAAAAGTAGAAAGATTACACAATGGTCTTATCCATTTTTAAGATACTGGTTTAAATGCAGTCCTCTAACATGGAAGAAATGATGTCATTGTAAGAATAACAAGCTGGGTGTCAGTGGCTCCTGCCCGTCATCTAGCTACTTAGGAGGCTGAGATCTGAGGATCACGATTTGAAGCTAGCTCTGGCAGGCAAGTCCTGTGAGACTCTTGTCTCCAATTAACCACCAGAAAGCCAGAAGTGGCACTGTAGCTCAAAATGGTAGAGTGCTAGCCTTGAGCTGAAAAGCTCAGGGGCAGCGCCCCAGGCCCCGAATCCAAGTGGCAGGACCAACAACCAAGAACAAGCTAAAACATAGAAAACAATTGCAATAGTGCCTGGCATATATGAAACATAATGTATGTATCTGTCAGGTAAATACATGGGCAAACAACAAACTGTGTGTTGCTTTGATAATCCCAGAAACGCAAATCCAGGAGTTTCCATTCTCAAATGTTTGCTGGAGGCAGATAGCTGTGGGTAAGAGAGTTGAGCTGTTCAAGCTCCCAACCCAGTCAAAAGAAAGGAAAGAAGTATAGTGAATGTATGGTTGAACAAAGGGGAATATCACATTCAATAAAGCTATCACCTCTGCGATGTCACAGAAAAGCAGCCATCTTAATCTTTCCTCAAGACCATGTATCTGCATTGGCTCTGCTGCCAATGGGCTCCGCCATTACTATTCCACTCTTCCCTACAAGACTTTCTATAAGTCTGATGATACAAGAACTACATATCCCAGAATTCCTTGCAGCTCATGTGTCTGCAAATGGCCAAGCTTCTGGAAGAATGGTGTCTATGCTGGGGATTCCAGGGTCTTCTTGCTTCTTACTGTGGCAGCATTTGGGAATGTACCCTAGCACCAGGTTCCCAAGCCAAGATCTGTGTAAATACAGTGCAGCTTAATTTGCCTCTTGACTCTGGA